CGCCTTGTGGATGTTGATGAGATTGTTAATGCTATGTACCGTCAGACGGTAGACGTTCTTACCGATAATGCTGCCAGAAGCTGTGTATCCCAGTTCACCACATAATAGTTGGGCATACATCTTCTTACAAATGAAGATGTAATTATTAGATGCCTTGTCGACAGTGGTGATAATGAATTGATCATGTAGGGAGCGTAAGGCAGTACATGGCCCGGACCAAGAAAATAGTACACTACCCTGGCAAACAGTACTTCGACATTGTAGAACAGCTAGAATCCTACGTTTGAAATCCTCATAATGGTCTGTCGTGAGTCGGTGAGCGCGACTGTTTTTACGAATGAAGTCGTCAAGTGCAGAGGACACGTCCGTAAGTACATATTCAAATCGGCGAATGCTAGGTTTTCTAAAGTTAACACCCTTGGACAAGACGGAATGCAATGTGGCGTCAGGAACAATATTCAAGCATCCCGTGACGATGTGTCCAGAAGGTGGATAGATGAAAGGAGAAGATAAGCAGTGACATGGAGACTGGAGCAAGATGATTAGTTGTGCGGGGTTACTGTTTATGTTCCTGAGAAACGTGTTGTAGTTCAGAATTCGACTGCTGATCGGTTTATCGTACCTGTATGAAATAGTAATCGAAAGGAATGGACGTACGGGGAACATCGACGGGCAGTGGTGTCTGGGAAAATAGGTCTGAGATGAAGGGACTCAAATACCTGTCCGGGATAGCGAACTACAACGTATTCAACCTTGCGGGGTTGAACTTATTGTTTCGAAACGTTGCAACGATTCAAGAGAAATCCCTGGAGAATGCAGTTATTAGCAAATGGCAACGTACCAGCACTCACGCGGCATCTAAGTAGGGACAGTGTCCTTTTATTGGCGCAACACAGTCTGTTGAGAAGGGCTCGGATCCCGTCCGGGGTACTAACGGGACATGAAATTGCCTAGTCGATTAAACCGACATCTGGGATATGAGCCCGTCGTCTTCATTTTCCGTGGCGTCGGCTCCTGCGCGGCAGGGGCATCTGGAAGTAAGGGTTCTTACCCAAGTTAAATGGAAGGAGTCTATCGGAAACAGTGCCGTATGACTTAAAGCAATCGTTTAGTCCGTACGGATAAACCGAATTAATGACTTTAATCCAAAACAATTCACAGTCCTGCAGAGAGAATCGACCGGTATCTATTGTTTCCAAAATTTCTATCCCTAATGAATCAGGTCCATGGTGAAGTTGCTGGAAGTGCCTGTGTAGAATAGTCTGTGCTTTATGAAGGACACTCAGGCGATGTTCCCTTGCTGTTTCACGAAGACTCCTGGAAGTCTGTCCAACATACTGCATATGACAAATCCTGCATGTAATCAAATAAATTATGCCCTTTGTATTGCAGGTGAGGGACACACCAGGTTGACAAAGGGGAATAAAGGCACAGCCACTGATGGTGGCGTGTACCAACTCAGAGGAGGCAATCATACGGCAGCAGAGGCAGTTGCTGCCGCGGGGAACTGTGGCGAGAATTCGACTGAAAGTATCAGGTGTGAGGATTCGAATATTGTGATAACGATCAATACGGAAAACATTCCTGATTGCGCGACCACCACTAGATAAATCCGGATCATCCCGGGGCGGTCAGGAGGAGGATCCGGCATTGCTAAAAGTATATTGAGTGTTTGCTGACCATGAAAATAGGTAGGCGCCTGGCCAAGGACGGCTACCAGTTAAGACCCGCGCTACTGGGCAGGACTGCTGCCTATTGGGCCACGACCAGAACCCAAAATACTCCACCAGAGCCAGAGCCAGGCGGTGACGAGAGTCTTCGTCCGTCATCCTTTTAACCGGTAACCAGAAGTGGAGCTCCCTAAGCCTGTAGCGGCCGAGAGGTGGGAAACTCTCTAAAGTCATATAATAGTGAATGTGTAGGAGTGAAAACGAGTTGATTAGGTTGCAATGTACTAAGAGCATAGTTAAGAAGGGGCCATTAAAAGAGCATGTAGTGAAGGCGTGTAAGGCATGTATTAAACAGAGAAATGCAAATTTAAAAATGAGTATGTAGGAGTGAGGGAAAGGGGCAGGGTGAGGGGGACCCCTTAGTGAAGGGAAAGGGCAGGGAAAGTAGTAAACCCAGAGTAGAAGAGGGAATGCGTAAACTGGCTGCACATATCACTGTTAACCGAAACGCATAGATCTGCATTAAATTGCAATAACAGAAAACGCATGAACTTTATAAACATTTACAGTATTGTATAAAAAACATGGAACGTGCACATATCAGAACAGCAGAGATACTTAATAACCTCAATGAAAAGAGGGCCACTGGAGATATGGCGCATAGGGAGACTCTTCGCATGATCCATCCAGACATCGCGCAATGCAGAAAACACCCAAACTGAGACTGTGTCAGGGATACCGGTGGGTCGAGCGTCGGTCAATATCAAAGATGAAGCACGACCATAAGGGCAGACCAAAATTGCTAGCGCTCAAAGCAAGAGGTCAAAATACCCTATATGTACAAACGGAGCCTAAACTAAATATAAAAAAAGGGACCAAATATTCAGATTGGAGGAGGAATAACCTGGCTGGACAAAGCTAGGTCGCTGCCAAAACCAAGGTATGATGTAGCAATGAAAGCAAACAATAACTGCCATAGGTCAGAGGCAGCAAC